ACAAAATATGAGTTTCAAATTACTGTTGAGCCTGAATTATTATTTAACTGTATGGATTATTGAAGCCCTTATTACTGAGATGTTGTATTTTAGCTGAGAAGGAATAGGTTGAATCCCTGAACGGTCTTGAAATACACAGAGTGAATTAGAATCAATTTCTCCCATTCTAAACGGACCGTACTAACCTTCCTAATTTTAGGAAGGTAACCGTTGTGCATGTTGTCTTGAGCCACTTGAAAAAACTATATAAATATGATACTGAAAAAGAAACCTAACAATATCGCCTATCATATTTTATACAATGAGATGTTTATATAGTGGCAAAAAATATTCCACTGGCTAAATTCTCCATTATGTCACAACTCTCAATTCAAAAATTGAAGACTGGCTAAGGGAGAACATGCTGAAATTCAGTCAAGGTGCAGTTAGCGAACTAAAAACTAACCTTGGGGACTAAGCTTGAATTTTCTCTAAAACAGTAGATCCTCATTTCTCATTGGATTCACGGGAAGTGGTAGTGATAGTGGCCCTCTGAATTTAAGTCTGGTCCAATTAGCAATACGTATTTGTACCTCAGTTACAACCTCAACTCTTGACTAATATAATGTCCAGAAACTGAAGCTAGTACAAACTATGGCAATTAAACTACCCATTGGAATAGAGGACAGGGATCATATGCTGATAGATCTACACTGTTGTCAATTGCTTACTGGATGCAATTTAAGATGTTGGAATTGATCTTTAAAGTACAAACATCACCTTCTCATTATAATCCACAATTCTTAATATCTGAAGGAGAGTCTTTTGTAGGTATGCCTGTTGCCAAAGGTATACCATCTCTCTCTGATACACAGGCTTTCTCCTGTACTGTTCCCAGGTTCTTCAACACATTCTCTCAGAAGTTGCATTTGGCCCTACTCTCCCAGCTGTTAGAAAATTTATAAAGATATATCTTTTAAACTCTAAATTTAAAACAACTTGAGTAGCAATTTTAATTTAGCTGAACACAGCAACTACGACCCTTCCATATGGCAAGAAAGAGACTTGTTTCAGGTGTTTGGACTTCACAATTTGTAACTAGTAGGAGGTGTCACAAATGGGCTTGCAGGCAGAATCCAAGGGAAGATTTTTCTGTCAAGTCCTACTGAAAATTATCTGCAGCTTGAACGCAAGAATGCTAGACTGGCAAAAAATAAAATATAGGAACTTCCCAATGATCTGTAATGACCAATATCTTGATAGCTATTCAGAGGAATAATGCCCTGCAAAGATTAATAATTTTAATAATAATTGCTGGCTGACAGTTATGTATGTTGCAATTCCAGCACATGTGAAGGACCTCAGAAGGCAAAAGCCAACTGTAAATTCAACAGCAAAGGGACAAAGCCTTGCAGAGATACTGAGTGATGCTGGGTAAAGAGGAAGGAAATGGGCTAATGACTAAAGTGTATGTTGCTATCACAGGCTGCACCTACCCATGAGTCACTGAATGCACAAATCCTGCTCTGAATCATGCATGTGTCTTTTTCATTAATGTTTTGCAGTTAAAAGGAAAGCCCTTTTGAACCCTTTTATCTCTGCACTGGAATTTGAATGGGGAAAGCAGAAATACCAGAACACCAGAAAACTTCTAAGATTTTGAGCTCTACTACAGCCGCTACCACCTACAAAACAGGTCTGCTTGATAGCCTGGGAAAATACCACCATAGTGACATTTGTTCAAGGTCTACTCTATAATATATGGTACTTTAAAATATTTTTTAAACCCTAAGAAATTAAGGGAAAATGAAGCCCTTCAGAATGATGGGTGCATGGCTGCCAGTGCCCACATGTGTACAAGTCATAGAATGAAAAGACAATATATTTATTCACAGTATTTTGATATCTGATCTGGTGCTCAATCTGAGAAAATTAGGGTTCTTATGGGATGTTTTGGGGCAAAGGGAGGCCTTGAATCCCTAGGGATTGGAACCGTGGGAGAGGCATTTATTGACAAGGTGCCTAAGGAATAAAATGTTTGATGCCCAGTTGCTCAGCACTGGTAACATGAGCAACATTTTCACCAAAGCTTTCCTATGCTGTGTCTTCTTCAACTTCTTCCATGTTGAGACAGGGTGACAGAATAGAGGAAAATAGGAAAAATAGGGAACAGGAATATATAAGGCCAGCTCAAAGCCTAGAGTAAAGGACGGCCTTTAAAACCCAGCTTATCCAATTCTAGGGACTAGACAAACCTCAACTTCCGGTCAGCCAATGGTCAGTTCAGGGATTTATTTAAAGAGTATTTTTCTGCTATTAACATAGAAAAACAATGCCCTACCTACCCAAAGTATAAAGAAATGGAGCTCAATAAATATTTCCACCCCACCACGCCCAATATTACACACCCACAAATTTCTGGCATACTGCCTTCTCCTGCAGACACACTGTTCTAGCTGAGCTCTTTACACAGACAACATAGCACATGAATATATACAATTCCACAGATAACCCTTAACATTACACAGCCCTGCTGAAGCACACACATGTGTGGGCACTGGCAGCCATGCACCCATCATCCTAGGCAAAAACACCACACTGAGACTGACCTCTACAAGATCACAGTAGCGTTTCATTCCTAAAGCTCTCTAGCTTATTCAGGTAAGCATACGGTCCCCAAACCAATAGAAACTGTAGCATCCATACTAAAGTATCAGATCCCATTCTCTTTTTTAAATGCATACATGGAGCAAATTAATCAAGCCAGGAAATAGAGGGCAAACTCCTACATTCTTGCTGACCTTTGCAATCCCATATGACAGTCAACCACGAAAATCTTCACTATTTCAGGCTAGGTGAAGTCTGCATCAATCACAATAAGTAAAACTATCACCAAAGTTATTGATAGGCAGCCTCAAGCCAAGTACATCCACAAAGACAACAACAGATTGCAAAGGTGTACTATTTGCCTGATCCCACAAGCTCAGGGAAAACAGCACTACAACCCATGTTTCAGAGCTAACCTATGCTAGCCCAAGCAGCACTCAAATCGTATTTGACACTCTCTATGAGGGTCCATCTCTATTGCTTGCAAATCAGGGAGTATTGGAGACAGAGGGCTGCCTGTCTGTTTAACCACAGGACAGGGCACACGGCAGCAATTCCAGTGTGACATTGTAGGCTGCCAGGAAGGGCATAGGTCTCCTCTCGTCTCCCTGACCGACACAGCACTCCACACACTGTTGCAAGCAGGACCCTGAGCTGATTGTGCCCATGTCTGATCTTGTTAGCATGCATGCTTAGAGAGAGAGAGAGAGAGATGCTTGCAGCACATGCCCCGTGTCCTCTCAGTAACATTAACTATGCAGTTGATGTAAGGCTGCCTCTTGGTTCCCCTTAATCTATCTCCCCGGAGCCAGTGAAATCAGATCAGATGCTGGCTATCCAAGAGCTCATGCACACTCCCCCCGCCAACTGTATCTATCCACAGCAACCAAGCAGACAAAACCCAGATATATCCAGATTACCTGGTCCCACCAGCCGACCAGCCATGGTTTTGCACAGGTCTCACAGAAAAAATCCACTAAGGGCATCTTCTGTTCTTGGCCAGTGAGCAGCAAGGGCTCTCTGGGTTGCCCACCAAGGTGGTGTTCCTCTTCTTTAGACGAGTGGCTGATTAGTGGTGTCCCCTTTCCTTGGGGTTGGCAAGAAAGGCAGGGGTTAATTCTTCAAATCTGTTCTTTCCACATACAGGTTTGGGCCTTGCATGGCTCTTGCCGGCCAACCTGCCTTGCATGGGAACTCTCACATCTCTGTTGCGCCTCCTCTGGTCCTCCCCACCAGGGGGCCGTGGCTGAAGAAGATATGCCAGATAGGCCCACACCTGAAAGCCTCACGTCTCTGGCTAGGTTGCTGATAAGGAGGCAAATATCCACAGTCCAAAGCTGCTCTGGCTATCAGCAAGCACAATCCTCCTCAACTGCCTGGACAAGGTGCCTCCCTCTCCTTCTCCTCTGGTTACATCTTCAGAAGAAACAATCCAGCAGCGGTTCAGAAAGACAGAAGGAAGAAGCAAAGACGGCAGCAGGCAGTCACCGC